GGATGCATGGATGCATGGATGGATGGATCTACGCAGGGCTATGTGCTGAAAGAACAACAAACTCAGAGCAGTAATTAAGTCATAACTGTATGAAAAATATATACATTCTGCATTTAAGATGAAAAATCTTCTTTGTCTGTAAATATGTTTTACTCAGAATTCCTCAATAAGTGGCAGTTTAGTCTCACAGGAGTCAAATTTGTAACAAATAATAATAATAATAATAATAATAATAATAATAATAATATCATATTAAGCACCTTTTGTTATCCAATTATAAAAGATAACTGATTAAATTATTAATCAGTTTATCCAAAAATTAATCAATAGATCAGCCTAGCAGTGATGTAAAGCCAATGTAAGCAGAAATGGCTAAGTGTTTCACATGTTGACGTTGTGATCAAGTGTTCACTAAATTAATTCTGTTCCTCCTCAAAAAAAAATTTTATTTTAATTTTTACTTTTATCAATGCATGTTTTGTACTTAACATAAAACTAATAGGCCCATATCTAATGAATTATATTAATATTGTGAGATTTTTATGGATATTGGTTATATACATAAAAATCTCACATATCCAACAATTTTCAATAACTTCATAATAGTTTTTGGAACGATATAGAGCCATGGCTCAGGGAATGTATTCAACCTACCATGCATCAATTTATGTTCAGGATTATTTATTTCTGTATTGCAGTTTACATTAGTAAAAGAATAGGGCACCAAACTGGCTCCAGCCCAGAGGCCCAGATTCTTGTAAATCCGGCCGTGGTTAAGATACACACAGGATAGTGACATTTTTTAGCATCATAACTTCTGCTTGAAGATCGTTTTGCCTGGAGAGGTCACTGGTCCCATTACATGACAACAATTAAACTCACTGCATTGTCCTCATCAACAGCGGCCCCAGCTCCCGCTTCCCTCTAGGCGAAGTGGGTGAGCAATAACCCACTTAGCCTCCCTTAAAGACTCTCTGGTATCTGGGGAAATAACTGGGAGTCTGGGTCCAGTGAGCAGAGATTTTACTGCTGCTGAAACTCTGTAAACCTGAGACAATATGACCAGATATTCTTATTAAAATGAACAAGTTACTGAACAGCATCCACTGGACAGATGCGTTCACAGACGCACCCGGGGCAACGGTGGTCACAAAGAATCTGCTTTCAGCTTTGACTCACCGACTGCCGTCAATGCAAATGGAGAATAAGGAACAAACACCCTGCTGCATGTTTTCAGGAGGCCAGCAACACCTCGATAATTACCAGGAATGTGAGGCGGAACGGTATCGCTTCTTGGTCGTTACACACAACTGCTGCAGCTGCATCGAGACAAGAAATGAGAAAGGATTAGAAAGTCAGTCTCTGTTTTCTGCAGATGGTTCTGTAATTAGTTATAATGTTTATTTGTGCTGAGATTCCTCAGGATACTTTTCACAATTTCAGCGTGTGAGGATCATGACTGGTGAGCAGAGTCGGCTAGTAACTAGTTACATTTACCTGAGCAACTTTTTGGGAAAAAAAAATACTTTTAGGAGTTTATTGACTGCACTGTGCGTTTTAGTTTTACTTGAATAACTTTATCGTGACTTATTGCCACTCTTTATTGAGTAAAATTTCTGGATCATCTACTCATTGTGAGTAACTTCTCAGAATGAAGAAAAGGCATTTTTTAACCAAAATAGTTTATTCAACATTTTTTTTCACCAAACGCAGACACATACCTGTAGCTTTTGTTAAGGTTTCATAAGTTTTACAGTATATTGAAAGAAATTGATTTGGAAAAATGTTACTTTGTAATCATGTTATTTATCCGAATTATTTTCATTTTGGTCTTTAAAATACCAAAATTTCCAAATATTTTCATATTTTCCATGAATATCTCTGTCATTCCGTTAAAAATCATCCTTGTTTCAAAAGTCTGGCTGCTTCAGTGAAGATGACCTGTAATGGTTCTACTTCGACTGTATTTATTAGTTATTTATTCTTTTATCGTTTTCAGTCTTTTTAATGCGTAGAAGAAAAGCACCTGCTGTCCTTTGTGTCTATTGGGCTCAGCACTGCCCCCTATCAGTGTGGAAAGGTACTTTCTGCCTCAACCTGCGTATTTATGACCAATCAGACTAAATTCGTCAATCACATTTATTAGATATATTAGACTGTGGAATATCAGCTCTCAGCACATGTGTAATCAAACCTGCAGTGGTGGGTACTGATAGCTAAAAAGTTAGTTGAGCTAACCCCAGCGCATTAAACGCTAATGCTAATACACTCCACCAACACAGTATTTATCAGAAGCTAATGGTAACATTAACTCGATCTTAGATTATATATATATTCCCTTGAAAGACTCCAACCCTGAGGACTAATTTAATTTTGACATACAGTTTTTTAATGCCCTTCGATATGGTATTATCTTATATTGTTCTCTACTGTCTTCGTGTTTTATTTTGGTTCTGTTACTTTTTTTGTTTGAAATAAAGTTATTGGGGAGAAAAAAGAGAGAATGGGATTGACTGTTGTCTAAACAGTCTTCACCCACTTCAAAATAAAAGCATAAAAATAAATGTGTAACTAATGGACATTCTCTAACCAAAACTTTAACTCAGATGTTGAACTTTATTCATCTGAAAGTTCACACAAAACATCCAACTAAATTAGTGCTTTAGAATTTATCTGGAAAAAGTAATTTTTAATGTCTACAAGACATTAAACCATATACAAAATCAGTGTAGATAAATGCCCCCAAATTTGAGCCTGCATGTATAAACCCACAATAAATTGAAGCTTGTAAACCAAATTCTAGCTTTTAAAAGCCAGTGGAGTTGAATATAAAGGACTTACATGAATAAAACATCCAACTGCAGTAAAGAAAAAATAAACAAGTTTGACTTTGAATTTAAAAATAATTATACATCATATTATATGAAAGCTATATGTTTATTACTTATTTTATATCTTTTACAGTATTATTGTTACATCCAGGTCTATTGAGCAGGTTTGAAATCATTTATTGCTGCGAGATGATGCACACTTTCCTCTGCAAACCCATCAGAAACACATAATGATAAACATTTACAGCTAAAACAGTAAAATAAAATGTCCGTCCTGACTGAGATAAATGATCTCTAATACCAGCCAGAGGGTCTTAAAGTCAGGTAATTAGGTGGTTTAGTGTGAATAATGTGCTGCAATGTGGCTGGGTCATTAAATGCAAGGTGTTACCACAGCACCCCCTTGAGGGCAGAAGAATATAGCAGTAACTGTGTAATGCCAGGCTGGAGAAACAGAAGCAGATTAAACTTCCCTCTCCTCTGCAGGTACCTGAAGCCTGACGAGAACAAAAAGTCGAAGCACAAGACCGCCGTGAAGAAGAAGACCCTCAATCCTGAGTTCAACGAGGTAAAAACCACAACTTCCCCTAAAAAACCTGCAGTTAGGTTTCATTTATCTCTGTTTTTATGTTTTCAATTTAAAATAAAGGCTCGTCTGGGGATTTTGTTGCTCAGAAGCCAAATCAGAAGAGAGGCACAGTGTGATGATGATGTTGTTCATGTTTTCCTATTTCTTTTCTTTATCATCATCTTTTTGGTAAGAAAGAAAAACAAAAACTGAAACCTTTTCTTCCTAAATATTTTTATTAGAGCCAATGAGACAGATTACAACAAATGTACAATTCTTATTGAACATATGCACACTTAATATCCACAACACTTGGGAATAAATCTGAAATATTTTGAGCCTCAGAGGTTCAGCAGGATATGAAAGGGAACATATTCAGCAAAATTGATATTTTGCATATTTTTATACTTCCATTTGGATCTCAACTGTTTCTAAAAACAGCATAAGTGCTTAAAAAACACCCAGCCACAAATTTATGTTTTTGGTGTCTGAAAAATGAGCCGTTTTGAAAACCTCTGCAATCTAATCTCACAGATCAGTAGGCACTGGTCATTGCCTAGCTCAATTCCCAGCAACCCCAATGGAGCTCTGCCTTTTACCTAGCAATCGAAGTGGAGCTCCACCAAGTTTGGTCAGCTGGTTTTACCGCAGAATGCGCTGTACAATGGCTGCTGGAAAAGTTAAATGTTTTGTTGTTCACTTACCATCCAGAAATCACTTGCTGTATTCTTGTTAGTTGTGCAGGAGTCTCTACTAATGCTTTTCAAAGATGTATGGTTGTATAATAGCATGTCTATTTGCAGCCATTTTCACATATGAGTGTAAATGTTGAGTTGGGGGATGTAGCCAGCAGCACATTATTTGGATGTAAAGTGACAGAGGCCCTAAAACTGAAATAATATCTAAGAATGATTTTATGCAAAAAATGTAAAGAACATATTGCTTTATAGGCCATAAACCTATCCTAACATGTTCAAGGAAGCACAGTAGGTCATTTTTGAAGATGTTTTTATGTTTTTCTATTTCCTCTGGATGTCAGGGTGTTTCAGTTTGGATGTATCCGGCCGTATTGAAATGGTCGAACCTCCCCGCAATCTGGCAGCTTGACATTTCCTCTGACATTTTTGGTGCCCGTATTCCTGCATCACCTCTCAGCCTTTCTGTCAGAGTCCAGCATCCTCCCATGCATCAGGGCAATGATTAAGGTTGAGCAGAAACCTTAATGTGAACTCCAGGATGTTATCTTGTTGTTATGTATTGTTTGGGCCAATTGACCATACCAAAATAATCACAGGTGACCTCCTACTGGTCATTTGAAGACAGATTTGTAAAGATCTATAAATTACATGAAACTGTCTTGGTGATATTTTAGAGCCTTTTCAAGAACAAACCATTTTTAGTTCAGTGTTATTCCCTGAATACAGTCAGATACAGGGCTGGAGATCAGTAAAAACTTAAAGAAAATGTCTGTACACATTAGGTAAGTTTAAACAAACTTCTTTTTTTTTTTTTTTTTTTTTTTTGCTTTGTTCCCTGCAGGAGTTCTGTTACGACATAAAATATGCAGACCTCACTAAGAAGACTTTGGAGGTCACAGTGTGGGATTATGACATAGGAAAATCAAACGATTTCATCGGTGAGTCTGATTCCATCAGCTCCAATTTCTGCTGTAGAAGACCAGGTTTAATAGGTGTATTGGTATCCAGCAGCACATCGTAGCTGCTGTCCAGCCAAGAGTCCATCTGTTCAGCTTCCTTTCAACGTCTCCATAAAAAACAAACTTTATCACCTTAAAATATCAACTTTTATAGACTTCCAGTGGTGGGATCCACTAACTAAAAAGTTAGCTACATTAAGCCTGGAGCACTAATCATAAACACTAGCTCTGCTAACGCTAAATGCTACACAAACATGGCATTTAGTATAAGATAATGCTAAAACACTAGCTTCAATTCAAATTATATAATTAGCTTTATCTCCAATTTAATTTTAGCATAATGTATTTGTTCTATAATAGTTTATGTTTGAAATAAAGTTATTGAGGAAAAAAAGAGACGGAGAACATGAAGAGAGGAAACAGAACTGCTGTGTAGGTGGACTTCACACACTTCAAAATAAGATCATGAATATAAACGTCTAACTACTTCATGAATTCTTAAGTCAGTAACCAAAACTTCAACACAGATGTCAAATTTTATTCAACAAAAACCTCACTGGTCCTTTACAATTTATCAGAGAAACCTAATTAATAGGAAGCTAAGTGCGCTAGATATTTTCAAAGTTAGCAAAAGTGTTGAAGTACTAATTGAAAAATTGTATCACGATAAATGATAAGTGATATAAAAATGCCCACACCAATTGAAAAGTTACTTGTAAGTTAGTTTTGTCTTATTTCAAGATATATCGATATATTTGCATTAGGAATACTGAGTAACAGTTTGTAATTTTGCAGTGTGTGCTATGACTGAACTCACAATAAGTGGAAAGGCAAAAAGAAAAAGTCCACAGAGATAGTTTGAAAGTTTCTTCTTCATCCATTTTGTCTGTGCGTCATCTTCTAGGTGGAGTGTCTCTGGGCATCAACGCGAACGGAGAGAGGCTCAAACATTGGTTCGACTGTCTCAAAAACAAGGACAAAAAAATCGAACGCTGGCACACGCTGACCAATGAGTTACCCGGCTCAATGAATGACTGAAGGCCTGCACCCGATCCGACCCCTCCACCTGCATTTCCTCAGCTCTTCTCCGTTTTTCTCACATCAGACATCCAACTCCTCTCTTTGGGAAAACATTTTCCTGTCAACAGGGCTCAAATTATACTTTCCACATCTTGTACATTTAAAAACACAACTCGCACGGCTGCTGATGTATTCTCATTTCCCGAGATATTGAGTCAACACGGAGAATGATGGCGGGGTTTGTGCTGTTGACTCGTTAGCTTTTCAGCTTTCTTGCATGATCAGTGAAGATAAAAGAAGCAAATGCTCTCTATTTGATGAGGCCTTTTACAGCAGCTGAATAAATTTCACCAAATAAAAAGAAGGAGAGAAACAAAACGTGAAATAAAGCAGAAATGTAGGCGGGAACGTGTATGAAAAACTAAGAGTAGCAAATATTTCCTAATGTGCATCGTATCAAACTAACATTTGCTTCTTTCTCATGTTTGGTGTTGTAAAGACGAACCTGTGTGGGAAGATGTTGCTGTTTAATATTGTTGATTTAAGGTTTTACACAACAGACTGAGCAGTAGTAGTAGAGTCATTTGAACATTAACAATCCAATCTGACAGAATATTTAGGGTCAAAATATGGAAATGAGACGGAAATGCATGATAAACACTTTGGTTGACTAAAACCTCTGGCAGAAACTTAACGTTCTCGTCTTGACATGACAAAAATTCATAATCTGTAGCTGCATTTCCATTACACATGCACATAACTTTACAGATATTCTGCTAATGTTGAAAAAACAATTTTGCAATTGGGATTTTTCCATTAAATGAGAAATGTTATTAAAATCACACATGAATATGTTTGTTCACAAGATACGTCATTAAAAAAAAACATCCTCCAACCACTTCCTGTCATCTTCCTCATCATATTTTCTGCCAGTACTAACATTCAGTTGTTGATCACGACTCATGATGCCAAAAAATTGCTTCCATTGCAGTTTTATTTTCAAATTCACTAATTTTGATACAGCTGAAAAAAAAACACTTCATCCTTGCACAAAACCTTTTTATGATTAAAAATGCTTTTTTATTATTATTTAGCAAATTTATTTTCAAAATTACAATTTGTGCAATTATATGGTCGATGGAAATGCAGCAATTGGCAACCTGCTTGGACTTTGCATTGAATCTTCAATCCAATTATTCGTCTACAGAGCTGATACATTTTGAAATAATCAAATTGTCCAGGTAAGAAAAGTATTCATCACTCCATTTTGAATCACTCCATATATTTACTTACCTACAAACCTGCCTCCAAATGGCTTTATTGTGTCAGAAAAGTGGTGAAATCTGCCCTTTAAGATTAAGGATAAAAACCACTGAGACGTCTAAGATCTTCTGAGACACACAGAAGTGGAAACATTTACAATCACCAGGCTCAAAAAACAACAAAAAGCATCCTGAACCTGTGGTTTGCTGGGCTCAGAGGCTCTAATCAGCAGCAGAGTGACATTCAGTGGGGACCTGGCTGGTGAAAATCACTTGTTGAACTCTTGGTACCGTATGATTGGACAGCTCCAAATGTGCTTACAGTGTAGTGTTTACACTGTTGAAAATGGTTTTCTGCAAGAGTGTGGAAAGGTGACAGGGTTTCTGTAAAGTTTTAAATTAGCCCTTAGAAACTCAAAAAAATACACCCAGATTTTTGAGCTTTAACTATTTTCACTTTTCATTCCTTTCTTCCACCATTTATTTCCTGTTTTTTTCTGGTGCCATTGATGTAGTTCTGGTTAAACTACAAGTCCCATGATGCAGGAAAGCATAAGACATTTTCAACTAGTTTATAGTGTTTTTAAGCATTTTGAATATCAAAACATTCTTGATAAATATTAACCATCAGCTCCTCTGCTATGGGAGTGCATCCATTTATTGTATTTTTGCAACGTAAGTAATTCCCTGTGAGGTTTATTTATTTTACTACTAAAAGCAACAAAATAAAAGTGTAAAAAAGAAATCATGAAACACTAAATTTTATCTAAAAATACAATGTGCTGAACACTAAGCCTGACAAAATAAGCAATCAATTAATGGCATGATAAATTAAAATTAGCNCGATTCCGATAATTAATAGTTTTGAAGGACAGTTTTGTTTTCAGAGACATCATAATCCACTTTATTTGTTTTTGGTTGTGTTTTATTTTGGATATTTAAAATATCTTCCAGTTTCAGTGTAAAGTGTTTACAAAATTAAAGTTTATTGCGATTTGAGACTTAACTTACATTTTAATGCCATTATTAAATATCATCATTATTTATCCAATTAATTACTGGGACAATTTATCATCCAGCAAAACTTCTCATGACTGGCCTACAGGACACATTGTCTCCTGTCTGTAGCAACAAAGCTGCAAAGAGCAGACAATGCCGAGTCCAGGGAACTTGGCATGTTACGTAGGGATATTAAAGGTCACTCACATATTTTTCAGAATTTATTTAGGTAAGAAGTGGTCAAAGTGTTGCATTGAAATTATTTAAGTTTGCAGAAACCCTGAGTGAATCCTGACGTAAAACAAAATACAATAAAGTATTATGAACACTCAGAGCATGCATTGTTTACAGTGATATGTTTATGCAAAGGCAAAAAACAATTTATGCAGAATTTGCAAAAAGATTGATGGGAAGAGTTTTTAACACACCCACAGCCTGTGTTTGATCTCATATGTATCAGACAGAATGTACGTCTATGCTGTAACAACACTGAATCCTACCAAGTATTTTTGCTTAGCTTCTAGTACAATTTTATTAGTACACTTGTAACCCAGTACTTCACTACCAGTGGAGCTAGTACTTTTTCATCAATATAAAATAATTATGTACTTAAAACAAGCTCATTTATCTTGCTGAAAAGTTACTTGTAAGTTAATTTTCTCTTATTTTCAGTATGCTAAGAAACTAGACCAAAATAGTTGGTAAGATTAGTGTTTTTTCAGTGCATAGCCCTAGTGCTTAGAAATGTTCATTTTGTGTTTACCGATCTGCTCCTATGTTTGAACAGAACTTAAATAATTCAGTTTTTAATTATCTTATGTGGAGGACTCAGTAGTTTGGGATGCATGTCACGTGTTTGTGATTTTTACCACTCTGAGTGCGACCTTTTCTGCATGGCCACACACTCACCACACCACACGTCTTGTAAATTTCCACTGCACGCTCGTTGTAAAACAGACTGGGAAAACCAAACGAAACAAACAAACAAACAAAAAAAGAAACAGTTCAAAGATCAGAATTCCTGTCAGGCTCGTCATTTAGCTAACAGCTTCTTGTCCCTAAAAGTGATTGACTCTGTTTGTTTTACAGGAGCATGTCGATGCCGTCGGCGCGGCTGACGGTTTTAGCGATCACATCATTTTATCTCACTGATTACAGTCGGTCGATAGCTATGAGCAGCACTGTTGTCCCTTTGTTTAATGATCTAACCATGGCTTCTCTGTTACTGTTTGAATTATTAGATCCCATCCATTTACTTTGATTTTTTTTTTCATTATATCACCTTTATAGAAGCTGGGGACTAACATCTTTAATTCATCCCATCAGGCGTCACGCCTCTGTTTTCCCTAAGTGTTAACAGCCTTTCCAGCCGCATTGATTTATGGCCATGAAACCTTGTTGGCATCTCAATATTCTCCTTGACACGGTGATCCCTCTTGCTCTCTGGTGAATACGTAATGAATACAACCAACACGTGGTTTTGGTTTTGTAACCTGTCTGCCTTTGTGTGCAAGCTCAATATTATGAAACAAACGGAAAAAAAAAAAATCTTAAATGCATGCGTATGTTCATGGTTTTGTCATGAGATGACTTTGCCTAATGTTTGATACTGTTTTCTGTATAAACAAAGAAAATATTTGACTGTGGATGCTCTAAAATTACGCTAAGAGTCGGTTTTCTTCTGGAGAACATTTTGTACCTTGAAACACTATTGCATTGCCTGTTTGGCTGCTGTATTGACTATTTGAACGCGTGACTTGATGTGAATTAAAATTCCTCCTTTTGTTTGTTGTTCTATTTCCTTTTTACTACTCAGGCACTTGTTTGAATATTTTCTGGTTTGTTGAATGTATGAATATAAATGCATTGTATCAAATTATATTTTAGTCCTTTGCCAGAAGGAAAGCATTTTGTCTTTTCTTGCTTCTATTGACAGTGTGGTTCTGGAGTTTGTCCATTTCCGTTTGTTCTGGAATCATTTTAATTAGAGGTCACCAAAGGTCAGCCAAGTTGATCTCTTGTGAGATTGTGTATTTGCAACATACACAAAAATGAACAGAACTAAACAAACAAGAAAACCTCAACACTAACAACTTAAAATGTATCGAGCGTTTAACGGTGCAACTTCAACATACAGCTTAAAAAAATACTAAAAATAGTTCAGGGCAATTCAAAAATTGTGAATGTTTTCAAAAAAGAAGTCAGCTTTTGACTTGACAAAATAGAAGAACTTATAAAACAACAATAAAAAAAATAACTGAATAAAATTATGGATTATTTAAAAGTTTAAAGAAGCGACATTTGTCTATATGATGTCTGGCTACTAAGAAATTATTTACAATAATCAATGTTATGGTCACTGATAAAAACACAAAATTTAGCCTGTATGGTTAAATTTTTAATAGTATTCCATGACTGCAAATAAACTGCTTTACATGCAGTATTTAAAAGTAGGCCCTTTCATTGTTTCATCTCGTTTTGCAATGCTTGTCAAAGTGAAACATCTCAAATACATTAAGCCATCACCAGCTTTATATGAGCTGGTGATGAACTCGCTCCCTTACAGAGGGAGATCGTTTATATTTGATGGGTTTTAGTCTTAATTGACAAGAAAAAGAAACGAGGAAGCGAGCAAATTATGGCAGAGGGACTACATTCAAATACTGTCAAGAATACTGTGATGTAAATTTAAATATTTATTTCTACATATCTACATCATATATCTGTATCACATGTCATGTGACTATTAAGTCTTAGTCACATAACACAGATTGCTTAAAATTTACATATAAGGTCCGGCCTCCAGGACTTGAAGCGCCACCGCAGCAGGGGCGCCTTATGCCTCCTGCGGGAAGGGTAAGGTAAGGTATGGGGCTTTAAAGACAAAGTCTTTAAAACGGCCTCTGCACGAATACTTTTCTTTTTCGTCTTACGTGGAAACACTTATGAACGAACCCTCATCAACCTATATCTAAAAAGATAGAGGGATAGACGGAGAGAGAGGTAAAAGACAGATAGGATAACCTATTCTATCATCTACTATCCTGTCTAACTGGTTCGTTCTTACAAAAGTCAGCCTGCAAAACGAAAATAAAAAAGGTTTAGTTTGAATCTATATCAAAAGCAGACTGCTCATAAATCCAGCGTACCTTGTGGTAATGCGCATGCGCAAATCGATGTTACGTTTCTTATAAATCCGTCATAACTGTAGAAGTTTCATTTAGTGTGTTTTATTTCTCAGAAGTTCACGGTAAATAAAAAAAAATAGAAATAAGAAAAATTTAGTTATTTCCACCCAGTGTCCAGAAAGAGGTGTTGTTCTGCTTGTTGCCTAATCCAGCTTCGGTCAGCATCCAGCGTTATTCTTGTGGAGGCGCAGGGAGGTTAGGACATATTCCGTGCAGTTTTCTAAAGAAGTATTAAAAAGGTAGATTAGCTATAGGGACAAAATATCCCGCGGGAGACCAAATTTGTAGTCAAACAGTATTTGTAGTAATAGTGACGATAAACGGGATTAATGTCTTGTTTACAGTATGGTAACGATATTGGAAACAGCAAAAGTCATTTATGTTAATATGCTTGATTAGTATAGCAGCTTAATTAAATAAAATTTACCATAAACTTCTGAGAAATAAAACACAAACAATGAAACTTCTACAGGTATGACGGATTTATAAGAAATCTGCTGAGTAAGAAGTATGTGACGTGATATCGATGTGCGCGTGCGCATTACGGTATGCGCATGCGCACATCTGACAGTCTGAACACCTGTTATTGACGTCAATCTGTGACGTGTGACTCGAGCTTTGACTTTGCCACCCCAGGATCACGTGATCAGCTGAGCCAATCACCTGTCTCTGATTGGTCTCATTTACATACAGATCTGCCCTCCAGGAAGTACAGTTCCACCGCAGCAGGGGCAACTCCTCCTCCTCCACCCGCAGAGCGCAAGTTTCCTACCTTACGCCTTCTGCGGGAAGGCATAAAAAGTAAAAGGGCCTACATTCAAATACTGTGTCAATAGGACTGTGACGTCACCTGCACCTGATTGGCTCAGCTGGTCACGTGATCCTCGGTTTTCAAAGACAAAGCCCGAATCATACGTCACAGATTGACGTCAATGACCGGCTGAAGCAGAGTCCTTGAATGTAGGCCGTCTGCGATCATTTGGTCACTAACTTTTTTTTGCTTTCGTCTTGCAGGTTGACGTTTGTAAGAACGAACCAGTTGGACTGGACAGAGGATAGAAAAGGTTGTTCTTTCTGTCTTTAACCTCTCTCTCTGTCTGTCCCGCTATCGTTTTAGATGGAGGTTTTAGCATAGACTGAAGATGAGGGTTCAGTGTTGCCACGTGAGACGAAAAAGAAAAGTTTTAGTGCCAGGGCTTTTTTATAAGACTTTGTATTGAAAGCCCCGTACTTTAAGCCTCCTGCGGAAAGGAGCTTTTCTTGCGGGAAGGCGCCTTCTGCGGGAAGGAGCCTTCTGCGGGAAGGCATAAGGTATGGGGCTTTAAAGACCAAGTCTTCAAAACGGCCTCGGAACTAATTCTTTTCTTTTTCGTCTTACGTGGAAACACTTGTGAACGAACCCTCATCTTCAGTCTATGCTAAAACCTATATCTAAAAAGATAGAGGGATAGACGGAGAGAGAGGTAAAAGACAGAAAAGATAACCTATTCTACCCTCTACTATCCGGTCTGACAGGTTCGTTCTTACAAACGCCAGCCTGCAAGACGAAAATGAAAAAGGTTTAGTTTGAATCTACATTAAAACCAGACTCTGCTCATAAATGCTTGTGGTAATGCTAACATCAATGATGTTAGCATTACCACAAGACTGATGACGGATTTCTTATAAATCCGTCATGCCTGTAGAAGTTTCATTATGTATGTTTTATTTCTCAGAAGTTTACAGTAAATTTTATTTAATTAAGCTGCTATGCTAATCAAGTATATTAACATAAATGACTTTTGCTGTTTCCAATATCGTTACCATACAGTAAACAAGACATTAGGCCCGTTTAGCGTCACTATTACTACAAATACTGTTTGACTACAAATTTGGTCTCCCCCGTGATATTTTGTCCCTACAGCTAATCTACCTTTTTAATATTTTAATACTTCTTTAGAAAACTGCACGGAATATGTCCTAAAGAAAAAAGCACATGAATAACGCTGGGCTTTACCTGAAAATTAACAGCTCGAAGAAGCACAACAGAATCACACTTTTTAGAGGTTTTATCTCAAGTCAAGTTCCTTCTATAAAAGCAGAAACAAATAGAGTGCTGCTAATACTGCTGTGCACATTGTTGTGTCAAGGAGTTTGTCTTGTGCCCAAAAAAGTGATGAAATTGCAATTTTCAGCAACATCTGCCATGTTTTTTTTTATATTTTTTTTATTACATCAGCATTGCAGAATAGACATCTCCACCTTAATCTCGTGCAAACTAACACAAAGAACACAGACCCTTCTTACAACCAAGAAGTCCTTCATCCAACAACATTTTGTTAATTTGTTTTGGCCAAAGAAAATCTCCTCAAACTTTCAAATTGGTATTATTCGGATTAGGATCCTGTTATCAGTTTTGCAAACTGAAAAGTTTAAATTGTAGAAATTGTAATATCATAAATCCTTTTTTCTGTGAGTATTATAATTTTAAACAAAAAACAACAGTAAAACAATACCATTTTAATATTTAGCATTGAAAAATATACAAACTTTGTTGCGACTGAAAAACCACCTCAGCCAAGCGCAAAAACCTTTCAAAAAACATGTTTGTTCAAAATTGGCATGTTTCCATTAAGCAAATTTATTTCTGTAATTCTATTTTGTGCAATCATATGGTGAATGGAAATGCAGTCATTGTTGTTCTAAATGAATTGTGTGTTTCTGTGGTTTCTTGGTCTTTTCTCTCTTTCTTTTAAGAAGAGCAGCTTTTCTTTTCCTGTCTTTTACATGTACATTTTATTTGAAATAAACCCAAGGCAATTTCTAATAATGGTATTGCCATGAAAGCTTTGATACTCCGCTTGTGAAAACAAATCTGTTGAGCTTGGCAGTCATAGCAATTTCTATTGCTACTCTGACAGAACATGTTAAAAAATAAGCAAAAAACAAAACTAATGTAGAGACCGAAGTCAAATTTCTGATTGTCCCCATTAGAGGATTTTTTTTTTTTTTTTTTCTTTTTTTTTTTTTTTTTTTTTTTTGCTGGAGCATGAACTGAACTATAGATTATGGCCAATTTTTTTTCACTGTCAAGAGGCAGACTTTCAGCATATTTCCACAGCATATAAAAGTTTGTGATTTATGTGTTTGAAAGCAACCAAAAATGAAGAAATTTGTGCTTTCATCTATCTAACAGATGGAAAATGCATAGGATGATGGAGCGAGTGCCTCTGGAGGTTCATCGGGTCCTGCAGCCAAACTCTCTGCAGGTAATGAAGAAAAAGAAAACATTACTGCCTGTCAGAAGAGGGATGCAGTAATAAAAACAAGGCAATAAAAACAAAACACAAATATAAGATTAATAGGTTCCCTTTTTCTCAGGTTTTATTGGTAATATGTCAGAAACGTTTCCCACATGTTAGTAACTGCTTTGACTCTGTCTTGTGATTTTTGCTTTATTAAAAAATGTACCACTGGGAGTGAATATCATGTCACAATATGGAAGCCCTGAAACACATCGGAATTAGCTTTCCAATTGAGTTTAAGTTGTTCTAATTTTAGTTCAGGATATAATATCTTAATATCTTTGTTGATCTCATATGTCTATTTATTCAATAATCTAAAACCAAAAAGCGTTTTTGAATCAAAAATGTTGCCTATTTTGACAATTTAATTACAAACCCTCCAATTAGCTCAAGTAAGAATTTTAATCGAGCCCCACCACTAATGATTAACCAACTGCAAAGGAAAAGATTTAATTATTGAGTCTGATTTACCTATTAAATAATTAAGATGTGCAGTTTGAAAATGCACTAATCTTGTTGGTTGTGCAGGAGGCTCCACTTCTGCTTTTTAAAGACATAAGGCCCTAAAGTCTCATTATTTACAATGAGATTTTATGTTTTTGTGCAGATTTTGTATAGACCATAGAACTATCCTAACCTGGTCAGGGAAGCATAATAGGTCACCTTAAATGTGACTGATATTACATTTCATGCATCTTTGGTGCATTTCAGATTATAATTGTACATTTCAGCTGTTAATGGAAGCTCTTATAGCCTGTTTAGCAAGCGGGTCTCTGCTCGACCAGCAGAATTTTGTTTGCATAGATCTGTGTTTTGTTCTGTCATGGTGGGCGGTTCCTCTAAGACGAGGTCCGAGTTCTGCTAGAAGCTTGATTGTTCTCGGGATTTGATCTCAGTCACAAGGAAGAGATTACAGCTTAACTCAGTTTCCCTTTTTTACACAAACAGGAATGCTGGCTGCAATTAAGGCGAGCTGCAGAAAGCCTGTAATCTGGCTGCACAACTGTCTCTCCTTTATTTTAATTACAATCCAAATGTCAAGGCCAAAGATTAACTTCATTTAATTCATGCCTAAAACCTGCAGCTTGTGTAATCCTTCAAAGGCCAAATATGTGAAGCACCTGATGAAGGGGTTTGTTTTTGTTTTGGCTTGTTTTTATTTTTGTTTTTTAGAAAATGTCTGATTCATTCCTCCAGGTGGACTCAGGGATCCATTACTCGCTTATGAGTGCAGGCCCAAAATAAACAAGGATTTTAATTAGGAGCTACAGTCATGAGTCTTTGCACCAGTAAAAACAGTTTGAAATGCCACTAAAAGAGGACATAAGACAAATCATCTATTATTTACAAACTCTTAGTAAACAGGAGCATGTTTTTATTGCATTTAACATGTTTTGTTGTTTAATATTTATTTGAGAAGAACATGTAAGAAAACAACAGATTTCTCAAATTCAGTTTCAATTCAAGTCAAATTGAAAACTGATTTTGGGAAATAATTATCTAGCTGCCTGCTATCAGAGTATGGTATAAAAAATGCAATAATGGAGTAATTTCTCTGAGTTTTTGAACATTTGTTTCACTACTAAGTCCAGTGTGATGCTAACCAACCCATCAGCAGAAGCTGAAGCCTGACGACACCGCCCCTCATTTGCATTTAACTTTTCTTGACGACAACGCTGCAATGCACAAGGAAAAGTAATAAAAGGAGGCGCTTGTATAAGGAAACGACAAAACAAAATATATACTTTTCTTGACAAAGACGCATGTTTAGGGAAAATGGATAAGAAAATATATACAATTCTTGACAAAAACACATGTAAGGAAAAGAAAAATTAGTATAAATTTTTTGATGACAGCGCATGTATAAAGGAAAGAAAAGCAAAATATATACATTTCTTGATGCCAACATGTGTAAGGACAAGGAAAAATAAAATATATATTTATGATTTTATTTTTTATCATGTCAGTTTTGGTCCTCCATAGTCTGTGAGATACTGATTACTAATAAATTTCCACACAACCCCATGACTGATATAATAAACATAATCTGTCAATAACAGTTCACCAGTGGGTCACAGTGCATGTTGTGAATAATCAATCAGTTCATTACTAAAACAAAAGACAATTTTACGATTAATTAAACTAAAACTAGAAATAAATTATTTAATTTACCCAGGGCTTTCAGGGTCTTCGACATTGGCTTGTTTTCATTGAGCAAATTTATTTTTGTAATTCTCTTTTGCGCAGTTTTATGGTAAATAGAAACTCAGCTAAGACTCTGTGTAAAAGGGGCCTAATGCCTGTATGGATATTCTTTAGAAAGCCATTGTCTAACTTCCTCCAGAATGCAACGCCCCAGTTTTACACTCTAATTGTTTTTCAGCTCCTTCTGCTTTGATTTTATTTTACCCATGATGCCCAATTATTACAGTGCTGGTCAGAGATGAAGCTTCATGGTCACAGTGAGGAAAAACACCTTTTTACTGTAATCATTTCTAAGTTTTCTCTTCATTTAAATATTTACTGAATCAGATTCTTGGAACAACACTGAATTCAGTCCATAAAACCTCACCTGGTTTTCAGCAGGAATTAATATCTAATAATCATATCTATAGAATCACAAATCTTTTCTGTTTCTACCTCTACACACAAAATATTTTTTCCATGAAGATTTCATTCAATAAACAAAAGAAAATAAACAAAACCAGTCAGACTAGTCTGCTACCTTTGTCAGTTTTTATATTCTTGATTTTGTTTCTTTGTGAAGCTCTTTGTGATTTTAATGTCTGTGATTGGTGCTATTTAAAAAACATTTTTTTACTTAGTAGAAAAAAATATTCCAACAAACCTGTTATCATGTAAATAAATAAATAAATACCCCTTAAACTTAAGTGGTTTCACTGTTCTTGGTGGTAACAGCTAGCATCAAATGTTTGGAATAGAAAACGATGAGTCTTTAGATTAGGGGAGGTATTTTTTTCCCCTCCACATTTATGAGTGAAAATCATGTCAAAGCTTCTGTCTGATTTTAATCTGGACTTTGATTAGACCAACCCAAAACTTTTCCTTTTTCGGTTTCTGCGCCAGGTTGACTTGTAGATGTTTTCTGGATCATTAGCTAAATTTCCATGAACCATATATTTGTGCAATTTTACATTTTGAAAATAAATTTGCTTATTGGAAACAAGCCAATTAAAATAAAAAAATAAAAAATCTAGGATAGACACTAGGATTTTTGGCTGTATCGAAGTTGGTTTATTTCACAAAACTGCAATGGGAACACTTTTTCTGCATCACACGAGTCACATAACCAATAATCTGATTTTACTACTGGGACAAACCACGAAGAAGAAAAAGCATGAGGATGATGGCATGGAATGTTTTATTTTGTGACTTATTGCGTTAATAAACTTAGTCATGTGTGATTTTCAATTTAGTGGGAACACTGTAACTGCAAAATTGTGTTGTTGGGTTTTTTTTTTACATTAGTGGATTATTACCAAAGTTTTGGCATATTTATAATGGAAAAGCAGTGACATCCTAACAGCATCTTGCCTGCAGGTTGATGTTCTTTAGTTTGCCGACTGTCTGACTGTGTAACCGTGTAAGCCATATTTGTGTCTTGAAGCCCAAATGATTTCCAATGATCTTGTGGAGTCGTTCCTCTGTAATCTGTCTCTTCCCTGTCTTCTAACCCGTCTGTACGGTTGGCATCGTTTGTCTGTCCGCTGGGGCCCACAGAGCTGCTCAGAAGTGATGCATGAAACACTTGGGACTTTTTTAGACTTGACCGTCACATCTCATCTGATGCAACCTTGGCTGGTGGGCAAACAATCTGGATTTTTATTTGTCCTCCATTCTGCTGCAGCCTTCTGGTAGATTTGTCTTTTGGCATTGATGTTTAAAAGTTAAGGAGGTGTTTACAGTTTTAAACTGTAAGCTTTGAATTCTCATTTATTCCACTGTTTAATGCAGTGTCTGAGTGAACAAAGACAACATTGAAACTGCAGGATGTAACTTTTATTTTTTTTTTAATCTGTTTTTTAACACATTTGTTAAACTTGTACCCATGTTTTGACAGTATGTGATGAGATGGACTGAAGAAATGCAACGCTCCTGGTCAAAAACAACCAATACGAGCCAGAAGGAGGAAATTTGTGCTGTCAATCATTCTTGTGTATGTGCTGCTAAATGTGTTAATGGCGAAGAAACAACTTGCAGTTGCGGGAAAACTGTTTTTCCGCTATCATTGGTTACCATGCTAACTGTCCTAACATTCGTAATAGACTCTGCTGTGGTCAACTATGGCGGAGTGTGAGCGGTGTATATGTGAGCATGATTGAGAGCGCTAATATCCTCCTCTTGGCTCAGATTGTTTTTCTGACCAATATGTCTGCAGTTAGCACTGGGAGCACTGGGAATTATCTTAAAAAATTTTTTAAAGTACTAAAACTTTGAAAGACATTTTTGAAAATATTGAACACTTGATAACGAGATAGATGGCTTTGTCTACAACATAAAGAATATGAACAAAAACAATTTATTTAATAGACAAAAATAACTGAATGAATCCAACTAAATAAATTACAAAAACTAAAAATAGCAAATCATCATAAATCAGACATTATTTATATATTACAGAAGAGAACAAGGGCCACT